ACAACAAAGCACCTACCTTTGCTTTTCGTAGCTTTTCTTCTTCATCACTACCACTACTAGAATCTTCACTGTCTGATTTTTCATTAGACTTTTTACTTCTATCATTCTTCTTTTTAGTTTTCTTACTTGGTGTTTTTAAACCACGTTTATTTTTACTGATGGAACTTAAAGGGACATCCTCCTCAGACTCATCTGTAGTACTTGACTCTGGTGGTACATTACCTCTTTTGCTCCTTTCTTTACTTTTGTTAGCTACTTTAATACTTCTAGATTTTTTCTCCTTTGGTTCAAGAGCACCTGTTTCAGCTGTATCAACAGCAGATCTTTTAGCAGCTCTTCCATTCACTTTCACTGAGCTGTCTTTGTTTTTGGAGGAAACAGAATCTTTACTTTCTTCACTTAAATCTGAGATTCCATTAACTTTCTTACCCACATTATCATTATTAGAATCTCCAGACTTCTTCTGATTACTTGTTTCTTTATCATGTGTGTCTGAATCTTTAGATACATTTTCACATTGTCCACTATCTTTGTCAGCAGTGTTCTTTTTCACACTTTCACTGTTCTGATTAGAACTGTCTTTGTCTTCTTTGGAAACAGATTTATCTGATGCTGTATGTGTAGCAGTATTCAAATTATCACCAGATTTCTCACTTGAAACAGACTCAGTTACTTTGTCTGTAGAATCTATGTCTTTGACTTTCGCTACACTTTGTGTGTCTTTTGGATGTAAAGCACTGACTGTTATATTTGAATTATTATTTGAACTATTAGCACTTTCTGATTCAGAGTTTTTGATTTCTGGTTTAGAATCATCTTCAATTTTAACAGATTCTTTTGAAGATTCGTGATCAACTGTCACTGAGTCAGATTTATTTGTATTGTCAACTGAAGTTGCTGAATTGTCAATGTTTGCACTAACTTTAGAATCACTATGAGATTTGTCTGTCTTACCACTTTCCACTTTCTGGGACTCACTTTCGCATTTCTTTGTTGATTGTAAACCTTCATCACTTTTAGGATCGGCCTCAGATTTACTGGGGTCACTATCACTAGATTCTGTAGGTTTTGATATGTTTTCTTTCACATCTGAGTTTTGAGTAACTCTTGTTGAGTCTGAATCTTTCTCAGGAGATTCTTTAACACTGTCACTTTGATTTTCAGTAACTTTTTCAGAAGATTCCCTTGTCTCATTTGATTTATAACTTTCTTCCACATTTTCACAAGTTTTTATTTGTTTACTTTCACTAGTATTGTCACATGGTTTTGATTTATCTTGATCGATTTCTTTTTGTTCCTTATCATCTTTGTCAACTTTTTTGTCAACATTTGATTGGATTTCTGTTTTAATATCAAGGGTTTCTTCAGTTTTAATAGGTTCTTGTTTGATAAGCTCAGTTTTTATTGAATCCACATTAGGTTTATCACAACTATCACTGTTTGTAGTCTCTGTTTTGGGTTCACTTTTGATATTTTCAGTTTTCAGTTTATCAAATTTCAATTTCAATTGTTGTAATTTATCTTCTGATATATCTGGTGTGCCTTCTTTACTTGTACTCTTAGAATCTCCTGAAATATATTTAATATATCATAATTATTTCAAACTCCACATTAGGTTAATCAGTATCTAACACATATGGGTTAAGCTCCTGTATGGGTGTTTATGGACTTATTAAAGGTAACTAGCAACAACAATCAGTGCACACTTTCTTTTAGGTCAGATGCTCTGATTTGATTTAAGAAAATCTTACCATTCAAATATGTCAGAAATGTGGAATTTAAAATTGAGAAATATCACTATTACAATACAGGCTAAAACCTCTAGTTAGTGATGTTTAACAACTACTATTGTCTGCTTACCACTAGTTTCAACAATATCATCTGGTGATTCCAACTGTAGTATTAAATCAGCTAAATCATCTCTAGTACTACAAACTAACTGCCATGTAGTAGCATCAACATCATCTTGTTCTTCTCTATACACATATAAATTCTGTTCTCTATCCTGTAATTTAATTTTTATATGATATAATTCAGCTGAATTGAATGAATAGTGAACAACTCCAAACACGAGTAGTTTCTTTTACATTTTGCACACATCTATTATGACATGGTTTGAACAATTTGGGGAATTTTCACACGTTATTAAAGACCAAAAGACATCTACATGGAAGACTTCTACTAAAATTCAGTCCATGATTAATGAAAATTTGGGAAAAGTTGAGGCAAGAGAGAAAAGACAAACATAAAAGCAGAATTTCTGTATCTAAAATCATATTTTACTATTGCATGGTATAAGCTATAAAGTTACATACCAATAAATACCAATAAGCCAATCCATTCCTATCACGTCCTATAGGATGGAAACGTAGTTGTTCTGCTGTTTGTTTATTAATTTCATCTTTAAATTTATTATTTCCATCAAACTGACTCTCTAACAAATTCTTGAAAATATCAATAACACAAAACTTGTGAAAATAAATTGATTTTCAATAATGAGCACTGACAAATATGTTTAAGTGGTTATAATATTTTTTAGACAGCCTTTACTGGTTTGAGAATTAATAATATTGGACCATGTCACATGTCAGACTAAAAGTGGTTAAAATCTAAAATTGTTGCAAACAGTACAACCTTAAAGTAATTAATCTTTCAAAGGCATATTTGAAGCACAGGTTATAGATAAATAAGACAATTTTTGGATAGATACTTCTAGAATATTTATTACTTTTAGTTTATATTATATTCCTGATGACGGTGTGAGAACCACATTGAAACGTTGAAGTAATAAATATTCTAGAAGTATCTATCCAAAAATTGTCTTATCTTAAAGTAATTGTTCAGGAGGCCCTAAATTTCTCCATTTTATGTTTTTTTCATACACATATTTTATCAAAATCAGATAAAAACTTAGTTTCTTTAGCATTTACTAGAAATGTGAACAAATGGATTTACAAAGATATTAGTGTCCACATAGATGTATATAAATACAAAACTAGAAATTTTGAAATTCAAAACTATACAAATTAGGCATCTGTACATAACAAAATTTGAAGTATTGGCTATAAGATGTACACAGGTTAGATGGGGAATATTGGAACATCGCAACTTATTCATACCTTCAAAATACTAAGTTTTGTAGAAATTTTACAATGATTATAACCATATCTTTCTACTTCCCATGCATCAACTTCAGAATACTTCATACAAAACTGAAAAAATAAGAGGTAAAATAAATATTCTATGACAAAAAGAAAGAAAGATTCAGACATCTCCTATTGATAAGATGAAACCACACAAAATATCGTTGTAATATAAAACAAATCCATTCATCCTTTTCCAATCAAAATACCATATGAAACATTTCTTTGTGTTTTCATTGAGCTGTATTTCAAATCACCAAACAGTTTTTCTCACTTTTGAAGACATCATTATAATATGTACTTGAGTGTATTTAAGGGCATCTAGGCCACCATAAGTGACTTGTCTATTCAATAACAGACATTGTAAGACCAAACAGATCAAGTGATTAGTTGAGTCAAACTTTGCTTTTAAAAATTAAGATAAATGTTTCAGATGCTATTATGATATACATACTTTGATAATGTATCTTTCCCATCTTTGTGCAGTTACACTACTTTTTCCCATTCGTCGTAATAGCCGTAGATGCAGGTCAACCAACTTCGGAGACACTGGAATAGATTGTGTTTGATAATTATTATAGAATACAAGACTTGGAAAGGCATACAGTTGTTTCCTCCCTTTAACAATTTCCACCCTAGTCATTTCATATCAGTGGATTCCTTCCCATGATAAAGATGGAAATGTGTTGAAATATCCTCCCATTTCAGTATTTCAACATTCAATATGTAGATGTTTCAATCAAAATAATCTCTGTTTATTTTATTTTTACATCCACATACTTATTTTTATTTACTACATCTTTACCAGTTTTTTTTTCAAATACATAATATAATTATAGACTAATAGTACCGGTAGTAATACCAATACAACAGAAAATAAACAATTTGTATTCAACAAGCAGCAACATTATGCACCAATATCGAAATCTAATAGATTGTTACGTGATGATTAAGTCCCTACAAATGGATAACTTAAGCACTAATCAACCATATCAATTCAATCTATTATCATGACTTCCAAAGAAATCATCACACATTTCAGAATTGATATAAGATCAATCAGCTGCCTGAATAGTCTATTATGAGGGAAGGAAACCATTTGCAGTTGGGTTGTAAATCACTGTTGTAAAACTTGAAAAGAGAATATGATTTTACAGAAGAGAATTTCAGTTTTAAAAATATGTTGGTTATTTTAAGAGGAAATTTCAAAAAAGAAGTAGACCAGTCTACCAGTGCTTAGCAGAAACATCGTCAACGTTAAAGAAAACAGGTTCTGTCTGAGATGTTTTATTTTTCAAAGGAGCAAGGTCGATACTTATAACAATCATGCCAATTGTAGGTAATATTTCATCAATTAACACGTAATGACGTCAAATTTAAGGGGGGATTCCAAAGGGGAATCCCACGCTATCGCTGTCCATTGTTTGTAAACATCATCAAATTTCTGTGTAAACGGGTTCATAAAAACGTTCACAACTCACGATTACTTGTATCTTCAAGTGCATCTTCAAGTTCCTTGAAATTTACCACAGGTAACCCAATTAAGTCACTATATCGGTCGATAAAAGAACAAATAACGGCAAAATTTGGATCATTGTGGCAAACGCTATCAGAAGCGTTCGCCATGTTGATTATGCTAATGAGGTATATGTATTATTTTCGTATTCAATAAATTTGACAACAAATGCAAATATTGCATATAAAACAAACAGTATTATTTGGGATAATATATAGATTTAGAAAATATTGCAACCCGATAAAAAAAACTGACATTCAAAGTAATTTCTTGGACAGAAACTGCTATGTACGAAAACATGGACAGGTGCTCGAACATGCAGAGCTAGCAATTGTAGGTGGCAATCTACACATTGAATTGTTTTGGTTTTTATCTACACGACTTGAACATGTGTAAAAAATAAAAAGAATTTTATAACAGTAAAAACTAAATTTTCACTTATAAATAAATATCTACAAATACGTTTATTGTCCTATTAGAACATGGCGACAGCAGCTCAAATGAATGAGGTTCAAGATGAAGATGCTTCAAATCTTGTTTTTCCCAAAGAATTTGAAAATGCAGAGACATTGTTAATTTCAGAAGTTCAAATGTTGCTTGAACACAGAAAACAACAAAATGAAAGTGCAGAAGATGAACAGGAATTATCAGAGGTTAGAAAGTGACTTTGATTGCATGTGGGAGTAAATAACCTTGATTCTAATAAAGATATGTACAAAGGCTGGAAGAGGTTTACCAGTTACAGACTACCCATTTGGCCTTACCACCAGTCATTTCACACAAAAGTTAAATCTTTAACTTTATGCCATTTTTCTTAAAATGTGTTCTGGTCCTTGGTGGTTTTACATTTGAAATTTGATAGTTGATACTCAACTGTTTTAATACTGCTATCCTATAAATGTGATTGGCTTTATTTGGCCCATGGAGTGGTTTCCCCCCCCTTTACAAGTTCCTCCCTCATGCCACAGTATTTTTTTCATTTGCATATAATATTTATTTTATATAAAAATTAAATGAATTATGAATGTTGCAAGACTTAAAGCCTAGATATTATTGATGGTTGGCTGTTTTTTTTTTTTTACTTAGAGCCAGACCAATGTACATTTCTTCTCTATTTTGATTTCAGGTATTTATGAAAACACTGAACTCATGTCAAAGATTCAGCAAATTTAAAAACAGAGAAACTATTGCTGCAGTGAGAAGTTTATTGATGCAGAAAAAATTACATAAATTTGAATTAGCCGCATTAGCCAACTTATGTCCGGAGTCTGCTGATGAGGCGAAATCTTTAATTCCAAGTTTAGAAGGACGTTTTGAAGATGAGGAATTGACTCAAATATTAGATGACATAAAAACAAAACGAAGCTTTCAGTATTGATATTATATACTGGATTTCTGTATGGGAACTAAATCCTGAAAATAGGATCGTTTTTTCAGAAACATGTGGATGAAGTGAAATAGTGACAATTAACAGAAAGAAAATCGTTTTTTCTACAGGCAACAATGCTGCCATGATTATAGCATGACAATGTCAATCATTTGTAATATAACATGTCATAAAGAATAAAACATTACAAAATTCTTCTTTAAAAGATAGCCTTGTTAGAACTGGTAAAATAGAATACAATGGTCAACCTCATTAAAGTGTCTATTGGTTTCCAATATTGCATATATCACTACGCCAAGCCCCGAGAACAATATTGAAAACCAATAGATGTGTGCAGTTTGACTTTTATTACATACTTTACTTTTTCATTTACTGTTTTGATTGGAATACTAACTATAAAGTACCACACCCGTTGCACAACTAGACAGTGTTTAAATGGTCTGTCAATTTGTACTACGTTGTGTACTTCGCACTTTGGACAGGTTTCAAAATATGGTTTAATGGTAATTCATTGTCATTTGCGCTATTATAAGCTGGCACTGCAGCTTTGAATTCGCTAAGCGAGAGTATAAAAATGAAAATGGCGACTCTATCATTCGAAAAGAGTAGAAAAAAGTAGTTTGACCATGTGATATGGATGCAATTATTTCATGATTTTTTTTGTATCGGTATAGTAGGTTACACATGAATGTAATATAGTACATCCCATTTCTTTAATTAACTCTAAACTAATGGAGTAACATGTTTTAAATCTGACCCTGCTGCCACAAACCTTTTTCCATACTAAGCTGAGATTTGATGCAGTGCACCTGTTACAAGTGCATAACTGATAGTATCAAAGAAAAAAATATCTCAATCTATTCCTAAGGGCACAGATTTTCTGGTATTACCACAAAACCTTCAAATTTTACAGTTATGAATTTGAGAAAAAAAAATCTTATGAATTCATTTCATAGTTGTTTTGTTATTTATAGTATAAGACAACAAAAAATGCAAAAATCTGCGAATCTCTATTGGGAATCGGTTATTAGCAATGATTTACTCTCAACACCTGCTAATCAATTGTTAGCGACAATCAGAAAATCATCACTAGATATCAGGCACGTCTAATGTTAAAATGTAAATTCTGAAGTAAAATCGCTTATTATATACATATAGGCCTATGTATTTGATTGTAGTAGCATTTTATATTAACACAGTTATTGACCTCAGAGATCAAAATAAATATATTTTTTCGTGCAGGAGAAACTGAAACTTTTTTATTTAAACAACTACCATTTTGAAAAGGGTTTTAAAAAAGTTTTTTTAATTCAAATTGATCAATAGGCCTACAGGAAAAAATGCTTTTTTATGTCTGTAATATTCTGACAGTTTTAAAAAAACTATAAATAGGCTAATCCATGATCTCTTAGGCCTATTGTGATGTATTCTTAATAAGGTAGGGAGCCGCGGTGGCTCAGTGAGTTAGACGCTTGCTCGCTAACCTTAAGGTCCAGGGTTCAATCCCGGCATAGGTCGAGATAATACTGTCGGATTTTTCAACCCGTTTTCCCCCTGTCAGTGATGCAGGTAAGAGGGGCTGACATGGAAAAAGCGTCGAGTCGTTCGGATGGGACAATAAACCGAGGCCCCATTTCCCTCATCGCACCTGTTGCCCGTCTTCATTAGCCCACATGGTGCAGAAAAGTAGGACGTAAAACTCATTTCATTTCATTTCATTTCTTAATAAGGTAGAAATCCTACCCATTTCAAGCACATTTTCATTATCATGCATACACATATTATTGCCTTTAATCGAAATACACATATTTGATTTCAATTTTTAGTTATCATTTAATTACTTTTTAAAGATTGTGAATGAAAGTTATTTTCAACTATTTGTCGGCTGTTTAAAGACAATACAAGTAGGTCTACTAGTCCCCGTGGTTTCAAATATGGCTGCTTTCGTTCAGGAGATAGCTGATGACTGTAAATCACCATTCATTGAGTGAATCGTTAACACCAACCGCTTGAGTTTAGGTAATTGTATAGTTCGTTGAATTGCAGTAGTTGCACTCAAGATCTGCAACGGCAATTACTTTAATTAAAATACACTTGTCAAAGAACCAATATTTTTGCAAGTCGACATACCACAGGGCCGTGAAAAAATTAAGCAGTAGTCCTATGATCTTACTCGACTGTCTACATAACTACTGGTTAGGCTTTGTATAGTAACCTATTGGCTCAGACAGGTTTCCCAAGGATGAAGAATTATGACATATCAATTCAACTCCATTTTTAATATAATTTTTAAAATCTGTGACTCACCGATGATTAACTATTTTATGTAGAGATGGAGAAAGAATTAAAAATTTGAAAAAGGTTAACATAGCTTTGTAAAGAGGTTTTTTAGCCTTTTTATGTGTATCAGGGACATGTTTGACTTCTATTTGGGACATACCAATTTTTTGCCTGATGCCTGTGGTTCCTGCAATTCCAGAAAGAGTAATCCTGAAATAAAACTCATTAATACGTCTTAGATTTAACGCATTGGAAGAGTTCTATGATATTTGTATAAACCAAAGCACTAAAATCTTTATGATAAAATGGCCGGTTTCAAATACAGTGAGGCAAACATTTGGTAAATGAAGTTATTAGTCCAGTAGTAGGCTAGTTAGTAGTATTAAGGTGGGAATAGATGGTGTGTGGTGTGGTGGACAGTGTGGGATTATTGATACAGTAGAAAATAATAGAAGCGAATCGTAACCGACCCGTTCCTCGTGTCTTCATTTGTTCTATTTTCTACTGTATTGATCATCCTGCACCGTACACCGCACCGTGCATCATCATCTATTCCCACCTTAAGGCCTATTGGAATAACTTGTTTTACAAAATGTTCGTCTCACTGTATTTGAAACAGGCCATTTTATAATAAATATATATATAATAATATTTAGCGTTCTGATTTCACATTTTGTTAAAACTAAGCAATAGGAGACAGTTAAGTTTTTTAAGGCAATGGTGAAGCAAAATTTGAATGAGTCTGCAATTTTTTTTATTATTATTACGTTATTGTGGTCTGGTGGAAGGTTGGTTACGAATTCTCTTGGGGGGTAGTGTCAATTCCAGTTAACTCTTTCTGGAATTACAGGAACTACAGGCATCGGACGAAGAAAACCTCTATACAATCCCTTAAAAGAGGGAACTTGGTGCAAAAAAGTAGGACGTAAAACTCCATTCATTTCATTTTAAAGAGAGGAGTGATACGTTAGAAACTGTTCAGGAGTGTTTATTTATTGTTTTCATAATCTTGAATGAGCTAATTCATTATCATGTCCCAATGTGTGAAATCCAACCAAGTTGGTCAAACAAAGATATTTCCTTTGATAAACATTCCTCTTGTAAAACTTTAATTTTCTTTTAGACAAAATCATAAATAATTATCATAATACATACATGTGGCATCATTAAATAACTGCTGTTTTGCTGACTTCTTGTGTATGATATTTGATACTGAGAAAGTGTGTGGCTGTTAAAGCCGCCCCGGTATTGAAGGGGTTAAGCCTGTATTTAGAAAATGGTTACTTATTTTATCTTTTCAGAAATGCAATGCTTATAAAATTTGATTGGATAGAGTGTTCGATATAGATTATGAACTCGTGTTAAGGTATGTTTAATATTTTGATCTGCAAATTATTATTGGGTAATGAAGGGAATTTAGCATTGTGAAAATATATAAGGTTCTGGGTACTTGGAATTTTACCTCCATATTCCTATGATGTATAGATAACAAAATACAGATCTGCATCTGTGTTAAAAAGCAGAGTGTTAAAAATTGTTACATTTAGGAGATCTATGGGAAACACCTCTGCAGTTCAAACAGGCGTATGGTCCCCATGCAAATATAATAAAATGCTTTTTCTGCCTCAATCATTGAAGCTTACTCAGTATCAAATGTTGGCTGATTAAAGGTAATAAGTTAATGACACCTTGTTGTAATAAAGTAAAATGACCTTAATAACTCAAATATTTTCATAGAATTCAGAACAGATTTCAAATGTTTAGAATGGTGCATACATTCTTATTTCTGATATTCACTTAATATTAATTTGTTTTGTTTTTTCAGAAGGAATGACTCATCCATAATGGCTAACCATTGCTCCAATGCCAAATGTGGTATCTGTTTACAAGAATTTTCAGCTATTGAAGAACTAGCCAAACATATTTCAACTCACGATTTACATCATGCATTTCGGTGCAACTTTTGTGAAAATGTGTACTCTGATATTATAGAACTACAAGAACATGTTGTTTCACATAGTATTGATACCCCATACTTATGTGGTAGATGTGACAGAAGGTACAACTCCAGCACTTATTTGATGCTTCACCAATCTTATAACATTAATATCAAAAGTGACCATGAACTTTCAGACAGTTGTGATCCAAACAGTTCAGTGACATCCAATCAAATAAGCCCCTTTAATGTACCATCAGCTTCAAGTCACAAGGGGAATATTGCTTCATTTGCATGGACCCCAAAATCAGAAACCTTGAAAACTGCAAATGTGATATTTCAGAAGAGCCCTGCAAAAGATTTTCAACAAACACAAAATATTTTGTCATCTTATGTCAAGTTGTGTGATATTGGTCCACTTTTATCTGATCTGGAAAAAAGTAAAGAAGCAGTTGTTGACAACACTGAGGACAAACCAAGCAGTTCAAAAGAAGTATGTGAATATCTATCTGGATTAGCAGATGATTTAAACAAATTAACACTTTGCATGTCCTGTTGTTTCCCATTTCTGACATCAAAACCACACACCTGTCAAACTTCATCATATTTGATGTCCAAAAAATGTGGATTTTGTGAGGTCGTGTTTAATGATAAATCTAGTCTTCAAAAACATGTTCTTAAAATACACCAAGTAAAGCAAAACTTTTGTTGTACCCTGTGTTCTATGGTATTGACTAAAGAAATAGACTATATCAAACATATCATTTGTGAGCATTCAAAGTCCAGTGTCAACTTGAAAAGTAAAAATAAAAACAGTCATATCTTTCAATCAAAATCAAGGCGTTTGAAAGGTAGCCCTCAAAAAATTATTCCTTCGTATCATATAATAGACAAAGAAACGAGTGAAGAGGATAATGGCTTTCTTACTGATCATGACATGAATAATTCATCTGATAATAAGAATGTAGCTTTTGAAAACAATTGCTTGGCTGAGGACAGTGAAGATGGGACAAATGGTAACATTACTTTCTACCATGGGAATGGTACCAGTTATAACCAGGTCAAAAATATATCTGATATGCCAAAACACCAATTCAGTTTATTAACTACCGCTTACAGACCTTTACGAAAACGTGAAATTATAGACCATTCCACCTCACAGCATTCAGTTTGTCATAATTGCTGTCATATTGTGCGAAATTTAGTTCAACACATGAAGCTTCATTCGTACCAAGAACGTCTAAAGTGTGGATTTTGCAACTTAAGACTCAAGACAGAAATTGCAGCAAGGCACCATTACCGAAGTAGTCATAAGGAACGTAATAGGGTTAGCTGCAACTCATGTAAATGGTATGGAGTATCTGAAAAACGCTACATAAAGCATTGTTTATCGGTACATAATGAGGATATGAACCTTATATTACCAAAGTTACCACAACAAAAGCGTTTGTCAGTAGTTAACCCCAAACCCCCAAATATTGAAATAGAAATTTGCAAAGATTTATCATCACTTACCAAAAGTAATTATGGAAGTTGTGTTTGTCGATACTGTGGTCTGGTCAGTCAAAACTTGATTGACCATTTGATCACACATCAACCTAGAGATTTTAAACAGTGTGGATTTTGTCATAAGAAATTTTCACATCGTGATAAAGTATCTTGGCATTTCCGTAAAATCCACAAGGAAGGCCAAAACCTGTTTTGTCAATTTTGCAAAGAGTTTCGAGGTTCAGAGGAAATGTACATTGAACATTTCATAAAAAATCATCCAAATGCAGAAATGACTTGTAAAAGTAAGTCTTTCAATGAAGATATTTCTAAATATAAATCAAATGAAGAAGGGAACCAAAACCCAGTTAAACCGTTGTCATTAAGAACAACTAGACAAAACAGTGATACAAAACTCTCTTCTGAAGTTCTACAGACTATAATAAATGAAGAAGCTAAGGAATTATCAGTCTGTAAACATTGTTGTAAACTTTATCCAATCAGTGAACTGAAAGACCACGTGAAGGGACATTCTATAGAGGAAAGAATGCACTGTGGATTCTGTGAAAAGGAATTTACACATGATGTTGAAGTATCACGCCATCAAAAAGTTCATCACAGGAAAAATATTCAGTGTCCATTTTGCGCCAAAGAAGTTTGCTCACATCAGAATTATTTTAATCACTTTCTCAATAGTCATTATTTTGATATGAAGAATGGGACTCTGAAGTCCAAACTACGCCATTTTGTGTGTGAGTTTTGTTGTGAAGTTCATGAATCAAGAAAGTTACATTATAAAACACACACTGACTTTACTGTTTGTGGTGTTTGTGGACATAAGTTTAGCAGAAAGGAAACAGTAAGAAAACATTTTAACTACAAACATCAAGATATGAAGGACATGGTCTGTCCATTTTGTCAGAATTTTAGAGGATCTGTCAACAAATATATTAAGCATTATTTGGAAAACCACAAGGAAGGATTTATTTTAAAAGAAAGCGATGTTTATGCCGAATCTGAAGAAGAGACAGCAGTTATTTCAAGCTTTAATGATAGAAATATAACTGAATCTGAACATGACACCGATGACGATGATTCACAAAAATATCATGTCTGTGAATTCTGTGGCCAAGTTCACAAATCTCTTAGAGATCACTACAATAAGCATGAAGACTTTATAGTTTGTGGGTTTTGTGATATTGAACTAGCTACTAAGAGAAACGTTCAAAGACATTACTCCATGAAGCACAAGTCTAAAAAAGAAGTTGCCTGTAGGTTGTGTGATGTCGTTATCGGATCTGAGAAGAAATATATTGAACATTATTTAAAAGAACATAAAGAAGGTGAATCTAGTGACGAAGATGATGCAGAAGTTGAACTGTGCCGTCAGATTGAATCTGCTTTTAATGATTCAAACTTGGAGGAATTTACACTTGATCCCACCATTTTCAACAAACCAGATATTCAGAATAAACTTCCACCTTTGAAAATCCCAAAACGTCGACTACTCAATACAGAATCAAGTGAATTTAATATGCCAAAAACAAAGACATGTAGAACTGTTCATAAGCCTAAAGATGATAATCATCTGGCAGTGACCAATACACTTAGTTTACCTGACTTTAATTTGAATGAATCAAATGAGGATTTTGGTGACATTGACCACGAACCCCCAACGTCAACAATGAATGTAACTACCAAATCTCGACAGTATGGCGTTCCTTTTACTGATGTTGTCACAGGAAATGAGAAGTCGTCAAACGGACCTGTTTTCTCTACCACTAACGTTCATTCTCAAACAGAAAATAGCCAAATCATACATCCGGAGGGTAATGTTAAAAACAGTTCGCAGTCTTTAGCAATACCGGAAGACGTAAGCATAAGTATGGTAATTGGTAAAGTTATTTGCATTTACTGCTCAAAAGTGCAGCTAGATTTGAGGGAACATTACAAAACTCATTCATCTGCTGATTTTAGATTTTGTGGATTTTGTTTGAAACGTTATCCAAACAGGAAGTCCATTTCCGATCATTACCGTTCGTGTCACAAAAACAAGCAAAAACTCACTTGCAGATTTTGCAATAATTTTAGTAGTGGATCTGAGGAGTCATACATAGACCATTATACTAGAAACCACAGAAATGTAACAGTTAAAACAAGTGTATCAGAATATAAAAGAAGTATAACAAATCCACCAAGATCAGTAGAGAGAAACAATGGATCTGATGCTGACGATGTATGTGCTGAAGAAAGACGACGTAAGACTGGTGTGTGTAGAGATCTGTCTCATTTATATGTATGCCAATATTGTGGGGAAGTGTACGGTAAAAAGAGTTTGGATATCCACATCAAAAAACACTCTGAAGTCGCTTTGAAGCACTGCGGATTTTGTAATGAAATCTTAGGGAAAGATACGTCTGTTTTAGACCATTTTAAGTTAGAGCATAGAGATAAAGAAAATGTAAAGTGTCGTATTTGCCCGTTCTTCAATGGATCTCAAGAAGAATATATTCGTCATTATTGGAAATATCATCGCTCGAAAGGAAATCAGATATGCGAAGAGAGTACATCATCTTTTCCATTGATGGAACTTTATAAATGTTTCATTTGTGAATTTTGTGGAGGCATTTATCAAGGATTACAGAGGCATTATCAGTCTCACACCGATGAAGAGATGTGTAAATGTGGTATATGTGGTGTGACCCTGGCAGCTAAAAGTAGCGTGATGAGACATTATGAAGCTGTGCATAAGAAACATAATGATTTCTCATGCATGTCATGTAAGATTAATATTGGCTCCGAAGAAAAGTATATCAAACATCGAATTCAATGTCATTTGGCGACATCAGAGAAAAAAGTTCACAATGAGGAGGATAGGATTGGAGCTGTAGATATGGCTGGAATATCTAACAAGAATATACCCCACGAGAAGCAAGGTGTCGGACATGAAGGAGATGCAGGTTTAGATGGATCCGATAATGATGATCATTTTGATGAACAGATTAATACACAAACATTTGAATGTGAAACATGTAATGAGTCTTTCGGTCATCAATACTTGTTGAAATTGCATCGCAAGTGTCACACTGGGGACAAACTTAAATGTGATCTTTGTGATTTCATTTGCTATGGAGAGGGAGCGCTTCGTCTTCATAAAAGAAGAGCTCATGATATTAAAATAGATATGAAATGTGAAGTTTGTGATGAAGTTTTCTCTACCCACAAGGCTTATATGTCCCATCTCAAGTCATCACATGATGGTTATTTCCCGCATCCCTGTCCAGACTGTCCGAAGAAATTCTTTGAAAAAAAATCTCTTTCTAATCACGTTAAAAAGTTTCACACACCTGATGCCAAGTTCAGATATACTTGTAAAACATGTAGTAAGGGGTTTGATTATAAAGGTTCATTCACTACTCATCTTCGTTTACATTCTAATGATCGTCCATTTGTATGTGAAGTGTGTGGGAAAGGTTTCAGGAATAAGATAACCTTAAAAGTTCACCAAAACATTCATACGGATAACAGACCATATAAATGTAAATATTGTGGTAAAGGTTTCCGCCAAGTGTCAACTGAACAGAATCACCGTAGAATACATACTGGGGAGAAACCATACATGTGTCACATCTGTGGCAAGTCGTTCCATGATCGTGGACATTTCCATTCTCACAAGAAATCCAGTCACAAGAATGAATTGGGTTTAAATACTGTAACTAAGGAAATAAAACCATCCAGTATCAATAAAAGCTCTGTGCCAGTTTTTCTTAATGGTAACCCAAACACAGATAGTTTAAAAGGACCATCATACGTGCATAGCGTCACTTGCAACGCAGAAATGGCGTCAGCGGTTGGCTCTGTTGCTAAACCTTCAGACACTTCAAGAGTACCACCACCACACCAACAACATGCTGTAGACTATCAGAACTATTTTAGTCATGTGTTGTATTCGCAAAACCCTTGGATTTCTCAGACAAAATAGTTTTTTTTTAAAATTACCTGAATTTCATTGTACACTGTATATTGTTGGTATTCCTTATCGAATTATTGTTTGATTCATGTCAATTTTTTTCGTGGTATCTATCCGGTTTATTGTATTGTATTATTAAAACAATTAGAACATTCTTATTTCAATTCATTTCACTTTTTGTTGTGGGTATCTGAAAATATGCCAGACTGCTGTATATAGTGTAAGGATGTTTTAAGTAAAGTCTATTGTCGGAGCTATCCATTAGTAATCATTCAAGGGATGTTGACGTCTGACAATTCGCTCTAAAAGGCAAAATAATAGACCAACTTCACGTCAGAAACACGTCAGGTTTTAAATTCTAAAAAGTTACATTTGTTTCATAATCGCAGGTGAAGAAGGATTTTCAGTCTGAAAATTATCCAGGACTGACCTGAAAGCACTTAGTACTTTTTATACGCCCACACGTAAGTATGTTGCGTATATTGTAGTTGCCCCTGTCGGTCCGTTCACATTTACCTCGTGCTCACTCTAAAGGATACAATTCTCTATTGATTCTTTCGATCTTTTGTATGTGTGTCAATATCATTATGAAGATGTGCACTATTGAATTTGGTGATGATCCGATGATTTTATTCAGAGATATCGCATAAAACTCTGATATCGCGTTCGTTTTTTTTTTCTCACTTTTTTGGCTCGTGCTCACTCTACAGACTATAATTCTCTATTGATTCATTTGTATGCGTGTCAATATCATTATGAAGATGTGCACTATTGAATTTGGTGATGATCCGATGATTTTCTTAAATATATCGCATAAAACTCTGATATCCCGTTTTTCACTTTTTTGGCTTGTGCTCACTCTACAGTTTGTTTTACAGTTCACATTTAGCTCATTATCGAGCTGCTGGTGGGCGTATTCGCTTGCTAGATTTGCAGTTATGTTATAAAAACATAGGCTTGCGGCAAGTCTCGCAATCGAATACGCCCACCAGCAGCTCGATAAAGAGCTAAATGTGAACTGTAAAACAAACTCTATATCGTAGCCTGTAGAGTGAGCACGAGCCAATATCATTGGAGAATTATAGTCTTTAGGGTGGGCACGAGCAAAATAAGTGAGAAAAAAAACGAACGCGATATCAGAATTTTATGCGATATCTCTAAAGAAGATCATCACCAAATTCAATAGTGCACATCTTCATAATGATGTTGACACACATACAAAAGATCAAAAGAATCTATAGAGAATTGTAGCCTGTAGAGTGAGCACGAGGTAAATGTGAACGGACGCACCAACGCGAAATCAGAGTTTTATGCGATATCTCTGAAGAAAATCATTGGATCATCACCAAATTCAATAGTGCACATCTTCATAATGATATTGACACACATACAAAAGATCAAAAGAATCAATAGGGAATTGTAGCCTGTATAGAGTGAGCACGAGGTAAATGTGAACGGACGCACCAACGCGAAATCAGAGTTTTATGCGATATCTCTGAAGAAAATCATTGGATCATCACCAAATTCAATAGTGCACATCTTCATAATGATATTGACACACATACAAAAGATAAAAAGAATCTATAGACAATTGTAGCCTGTAGAGTGAACACGAGGTAAATGTGAACGAACGGACGGACGGACCGACAGGGGCAACCACAATATAAAAAAAAATAGCATCTTTTGATTTTAGAAACTTCAAGGCGCGAGCCAAATAATGTCTTAGCGCATATTCCATTTCAATAATCAAATGAATTATTTGATGTATACCAGTACTTTTTTTTTTGTCGTCTTATTATTTTTTTTTTATTCTCTGAACGTTTTCTATAAATCGCTGCACCATACTAGACTTTCTAATGTTCAAGAAAAAAATCTCTTATATTATGAAGGCGGGTGGTTTCACTCCGCTGTTCTATCGTCGGGCCCATGGCAAGACTTGATTGTTCGAAGGGGCAAGTTATATATCCGGAGATGCAATGCTGTATGGTGTTGGCGAATACATCCTATTGTAGCCCCCGATTACACGCTCAGCCAAATTGAGAGCTCTATATAATTGGTTGTATTCGCTAGCGTGAAATCTAATCAAACCTTGCATTCAAGGTATGAGACGCATTTTTGAGGAATCTCTACTAGTTACAGGATGCATTGTATTCATTTCAGAACGCGTCATGTATCTACTCAAGGTAACCTAAACGCATTGTGTCTCGCCTCTAAACCCATATTTTGTCCAACATTTATCGTGATGAAAGGGGACTTACATGCAATCATACGTTCTAAATTTGTGGTGTCGCGTTTAGGACGAGGTACAGTGAGGGATTATCGATTCCTCAGAAATTAGAAAAGGGAATGATACGAGGAATTGGTGCAAAAACTATTGGCTATTCCCGAACCCGATTCGCTGGACACATAATTATTCCCACGGTCACAGAAATTTAGTTATGGTAATTTATCTAAAGATATTGCAGTGTCAATAGTCCACCCAACCTTGAACTGGTGGAACCAATTCTAATTGAGTGTAACGGTTGCTTTTATGTACTTGATGATCCCGGCATTTAGTTCCCATTTATTATATTGTACTACCAGTGTCTCACAAACGTGAATTTACGAATAGATTCGAATACGCCAATGTTTGACAGCAAACTTACACCACTGAACGTGATTAAGTGAAAACAAGCATAATAGGTAGTTCATAATTACATGTACTAATCAAATAGACTGATTGAAGGTAAGGTACTAAATAAAACTTATGCATGAATACTGAATTCTTTCAAATAGAAAGAAATACTGATTGTATGTAGCCTATCGCGTTTATGATAAATTATGCATTCGTATCTATCGGTAACTACCATTAATTTTTGTTAGCCCGAATGTTTTATCAAGAGATATACTTTTCTTAGTAATCAAATTTTACCCATTATTTTGTGGGTATTGACTATAGTTAACTATATTAGCTGGAATAAAGAACTACTAAGAACTAAGAATTACTAATACTATATTTTTCAGAAAGACTGAATATGATGGACGAAGCTACACATGTTGACTATTCATTATCGGATATCAGGAATCTTATAGACAACCATCAAGGAATGATCAACAAATTGGATGAAAACATCTATTGCATGTCACCTTTAATGACTGAGGTTTATAAGGGGAATTTTGAAGCTGTTTCGTTGTTATTGCAATATGAATACATAGACATCAATATAAGAAACAAGTACGGACATTCTGCATATTTCTATTGTCTTAATCCAAGGGAAAATGTGAGTGAACAGTCAAAGTTGAAGTGTCTAAAACTTTTACTCAAAGCTGGGGTACAAAATTTATATTGTGTTCAAGAAGGTCATAACTTTACGCCGCTGATGATTGCTGCAAAAAGTTGTGATGACGTATGCCTCAATGAAATAATCAAGACAGGCTATAGTAATAATGCGAAAGTGTTGAATGATTTTGATCTTGACAGTGAAGATGAGGTCCTATTAGAAAACAATTATTATGAAGAATATTTTTATGATAGTCATTATGATATCGGTGATGACGATGATATCGATGATGATGTTACATTAATTGACGACTATACCAGTATGGATATTAAGAAACGAAACGTTGATTTTTATACATACTGTCATGTTTATAAGAAAATATGGAAGGCAAGTAATGATTTTTGGGATTTTGGAAATAGAAAAACAGCCTTTCAGCTTTGTTTGAAAGCAAGAGATATACCGGTCGAGAAGCAATTGGCTTGTTTACAATTACTTGTAGAAGCTGGCGCATCATATGTGACACATTTAAATGGATATCAGTTACGGCCAATTACAATAGCTATTGGTAGATATTCTGCAGTAGATCCATGTGTTATTAAATATCTCATATCAATCGGCTGCTATCTTGATCATCAGAGGGATTTTGAAAGAGCTGTATGTTACATGCACTTGGAAATTGCTCAACTGCTTATCAAAGAGGGAAGCGATCCCCACTTGTTGAGTAAAAACAACCAAAATATTTTACATATATTATTTATGTGGGATAATTTGAGTTTCTTCGAACATGATGAAGTGTATGAAAAAATGAAGAAAATGTTATGGTTTTTAGTACAGGAATTGAAAATAGACATAAATGCTGTTGATGATTGTGCCGTTTCTATATTTTCACTGGTATTTTTAAATTTTGTCAAAGGAATTTCATTCCCTTTTCTGTATCTGATGTCCGAGAATATAAACTAAAACATTTTGACCAATGATAGAGAGTTACAAGAATATCACGCGATGTTTCGAACTGCTCGAGTTTTCGCTTTATCTTTCAAAGACATGGACCATTACAAACTTTTGTATGATATGGGTATACCTCTGAATTTAAATTGTCTATTACATGACAGATTTCTGGGGAAAAATGAACCAAATCAAAACACATTGAAGTGGTTAGAAGGGATATCATCAGAACCAGATTCCTTGTTAAGAAGTTGTAAAATTATAGTAAGAAAGTCATTAGGAAAAGACATAAAGTCCAAAATATCTCAGCTAATTTTACCAAATGTTTTGAAAAATATGATACTTCTCAAGGACATATTGCCAGATGAGTGTTTTGAATACTGAATACTTGTGTAATGACCCTCTTGTACCTCTACTGAAAGCATCAAAAGGCTTGACGACTTTTAGTTTTCAGTCTGTTCACCATTGTTTGGTGCGTATTTATTAACTTTATAGTCGACTATATATCAAGAGAGAAAGACGCTGTTTTAAAACGTCAATCACTATTTAAGATTGGTCAATTATTTTGAATAATTTAAAGGGACGGGTAGGCCATTTTTTTTACCAATCATACTTGAGCCTCAGAAAGTGGAATTCTTTAGCTGAGTTAATCAGTAATAATGTTCACAGCTCAACGTTGAAATGTGAGCCTTCAAATCCATGTGTGTCCAGAATTATCTGCGTTTGAATGTTAAAGTGACGACTCGTCAACGGAATTATGTGATTTTCGTAAATTTCTAGTACTTCTGAAGATTATTTACATACATATTCAAGACTAAAATTAACCACCCAAAATGGCACACCTGCCCCGTTAAGTAACCTCGGTGGTGCCTGTTTAACACAGTCGTAAAAAGTATTAATTTTACGAATTTTTTTACTTTCGATGATTCAAAGCGTTAGATGGATGGATTTTTTACTAAATGTATTGTCTACAACATTGTTTCTGGCAGTATATTACTATGTACTATTGTATAAAACAATTGTGCAGTTGTATTTAACTTTCGAGATTTGAAGCGGATGTAAGTAGTTGAAAAACTTTCAAAAAAAAAATTGAAAGTTAGGAGCGAGCTCCGGGCCAGCCTCATTTTTTGGGGTGGGAAAGGGACTATGTCCCCCCTGGCCCTCCGTAGAAATACCACTGTGTATAGCATGTACCTGTTAAATACATTACTTGCCTTAGAAACACGTCGAAGAGGGTGGCCGTTTTATGTGGAATTTGATGTGTATTGATGAAGTTGTTGATTTTGACTTCTGAAAATTCGATTTGGTTAATTGATGCGATGATGAGTAGGCTTATGGACAGATATAATAAAAAGAATTTCACGAACTTTCACTATATCGAGATAGTTTACTCCCTTTATTCATGTCATCAACTTTGACCTTTAACCTTTAAACTTGGGGCAATGCGAGTTTGTCTTTGTGGGACTCGCATTGGTGTCTAGTGAGAAATTCAATGACCTAGTTCTCCACAGTTGAGATTTTCATGAAAAGGGACTTAGGTGGTGTTTTGTTTAAATGAAACAGTGTAAATCCAATTTGATAACAGACTTAAGCTTATATACAATTGCCTGCAGATCTAATCATTACCGTGACAATGAAAAGGTAATTAATCACTTAATGAGCATACCATTGAAGTGACTGGGTAAGATGACAGCTACCTAATGTCACTCTATAACCGATTGGATAGGTCAAGATATACCCTCAATGTAAGTAAACCGTCTTATTGTATTTTAGATTATCTTAAATAAATTATGTATGATATGGTAGTTTATTTGTATTTGTAAGTTTGTTACGAAAGACATATTGAGTGACTTTATACGTCGAAGTGTAGTTTTGTGTGTACTTGTGATTTAAAAAAATCATTAAAATAAATATTTTGAGCAAGATATATAAATATCTCAGATTATTGGAGAATGGTTTGTCGTTTGTGTACTAGAGCTATCACCAAGATCTTGATGTCTGTACTCCATAATAACATGTCATCAGTATAATATATTTAGGATTGTCACTGTGGGTTATGAAGTAAACGAGTGGAATTTGTAAACCGGATGCCACGATGACTATTGCGTTGACAATAAAAGTTTTTAGGAAAATGAGTTAATATAACGGAGGATATGATTTCATTTTTAGGAGAAACTTAGAGGTCAAACATTGTCATTGTATAACCCTAAAACTTCTTCTTGTTTCTTGATTCTCATAACGAATTAATCTCTTCTTAACTGTCTACAAGTTGTCTACAAGTTAAAACAGGTAGGTAGATTAAATATAACGAGTTTCACGTTTTCCTTTTTTCAGTATCTAATCTAAGTTACCGATAAACAATTATATTAATATAATATAGTCCTTCAATGGATAGATACGTTTCAATAACTTTCATATTTGAATGGAGTAAAATCATGTAGATGTAATTTGACTTCGATTTTTGTTTTTGTGATTCAATGCCTTAAATTAAATAGATAATTTAATGAGATATAAATTGTATACGTTGTAATATAATACTATATACTTAAAGAGATATAAACTATACACGTTGTAATGTAATACATATACTTAATGAGATATAAACCATATACATTGTATAATACTATATACTTAAAGAGATATAAACTATACACGTTGTACTATAACAGTATATACTTAATGAGATATAAACTATACACGTTGAAATATAATACTATATACTTAATGAGATATAAACTATACACGTTGTAATGTAATACATATACTTAATGAGATATAAACCATATACATTGTATAATACTATATACTTAAAGAGACATAAACTATACACGTTGTACTATAACAGTATATACTTAATGAGATATAAACTATACGCGTTGTACTATAACAGTATATACTTAATGAGATATAAACTATACACGTTGTACTATAACAGTATATACTTAATGAGATATAAACTATACACGTTGTAATGTAATACATATACTTAATGAGATATAAACTATACACATGGTAATGTAAAACATATATTTAATGAGATATAAATTGTTTATGTTGTAATATAATACTATATACTTAATGAGATATAAACTATACACATTGAAATAAAAAAAAACATATTTAATGAGATATAAACTATACAAATTGAAATAAAAAAACCATATATTTAATGAGATATAAAATATGCATGTTGGACTATAAGAAAGACACTTCCGTCAATCAACAATCTCGTCCAAGGAATGGCAAAATTGAGAGCAAAAGTTGTGTAGTAGTGGAATACTCAAACGAGAAGTAGTATCAGGTTTTTTGAAAAGATCTTTAATGAAATGTAAACCATACCGATTGAATTATAATACATTATATTGTTAATGAGATATACGTGTAAATTATACATGTTGGACAATAATACGTATGATTCATCTGAAAATAGTTTCAGCTTGTATGACCTTTAATAATAAATACTAAAATATAATATATCTAATATCTTATATTTGATCTTTACAAGGAACTATAAATGTTGGCGGCAGTACATAATATTCTCCTACGTGTCAAATTTATATGATACTATATCTTTATATGAATTTTATGGAATGGAAATCTTTTTGAATGAATGCTATATGATACAATACAGCTTGGAGTAATGACTGACAATCGTGGTTTTCTCTGATGTCATGGTACATTAACGTGGCTAGGGTATTCCACTTCATGACATTATTAGAATAGAATATAATTATAAGTCAAATGTTATAATTGAATAAAAATTATCTATATAGTGATTGATGTTGACATTTAGATGTTATAAATAGAGTAACGCTCACAATTTTATTGGATTTTCGGGTATTTCACATCATACCAAACAGCTCAAAAGGATCTAAACAAAATTATGCTTAATTGAATATTCTTGGTGAATCGGTTATTATTGTTTTTACAAATTTGTTAAATATTTTCAATTGATGAAAGTAAAAACTGCAGTTTAATTAGATCGTTAGAAAACAACCCTTATGATTGAAGAGGCAGTCTTATTTTTTAAATATATACATGTAGACCTCATCCCAGAGAAATGTCTCCCTAACCTTATCTAAAAGCCTTAACTTACGGTATCTAATTATTAGAACGCCAAAACTATTTACATTTAAGGTTTCCTAGCACAACCAGCATTCACTTACGACAAATTGTTGAAAAAAAATTATTTTTGTATTTTGGTCCATATTAAACCAAATAGTATATAGTTGTACATATTGTCACTGTTGTCATGGTAATTACCTATGTACTGTAGACTTTAAGGTGTTAGTTAGATCACCTCAAGCTAAATGAGAAGAAAAAAACTGATATCAATGCTATATCTTTTTTCGTGTGCATCAGTGTGTGTTTGTGAATAATTGGTAGACCGGAAAGACACTAAATGTTACCTACGCAATAGATATAATCCCCTTACAATAACATTTTTTAGGGATTCTAAGGACTGTTCAAATATCAATTAACTATGACAATCTTCAATAATGGTAAATTATACAAAAAATGTTCCATAATATAAGCATAGGCCAAACATTTCATTTTCGTCAGTATTGTTTGGGCAGATTTACACACTGGTTTTGACCTATACTTTTATATTATAATCTGAAATAATTGAGGTACAATTGAGTTCTTATCGAAAGAGTTTATAACTATATGATTATATATATAATTCTCCATAAATCATTAACCAATATTAAGCTGGAGATGATCAAAATGACATAATACAGAATTATATTGATAGCTATGAAATAGCCAGTGGCTGTAGCCTTTCACATTTATAGACAAAGACTCATATATCATAAACTTATTGACATTATTTTGTTTAATAACAACGATTTATAAATTTGTAATTGTAATCTATAAATAAACAATCTAATCAAAATCCTATAGGTAGAATAATGGAAAGTTGAATCGGACACAGCCTATGCAAATCTATGAATCAAGCTTTTTAGATAAAAACTGTCTTCAATTATGTATTACAATTTTGATTTTTATTCTTAAAAAAAGCACAGATCTCCTTCCGAATATATTCCTTTAAGTAATTATTCGGAATAAATTAAAATAAGTTTAAATGGTGTTTTACGTCCTTCTTTTTTTCATCTGAATAGGCTGTAAAGACGTATTCTAAATGGTATTTTTTCAACTTTCAAACAGTTGTAAAGTAAAATTTGATGGTTAGAAGTTGAAAAATAAACATTTTAATATTTCAAAGACATATAGACACTAGTAAAATAGTAAATTATGGTATAAATATTTTTGAAATTTGGAACAGTAGAAATTGATAACTAATTAATAACTGGTTGTATAACTATTGTTATTCCAGACAGAAATGTCGGTTGTTTATTTAGTACTGACTATAGCCTCCCTATATCGTAAGTATCGGATTTTTTTTTTACTTAATACACAAACTGTCTACTAAAATCGGCCAACCGAAATAACTTTCAGCTGGTGCAAATAAAAAACAAAATGTGAGGTACTTTGTCTATAAACACTAGGAAGCTAGATTGTTTGCTCATTTTGTTATTTAGTGTAAAAATATCTTGTATCAAATGAACATCTCCCATTTGGTAATTTTATTTATTCGATGAATATCTGGTTACAGCAAATGAAGCAGCAGAATGGACTACGTGGACAACATGGTCACCGTGCTCAGTTTCCTGTGGAGATGGTGTCATTGATAGAGCTAGGACCTTGATACCAGGCCCAGGTGAACCACAGTCGGATAATCCGATAACAATGACAGATAAATATTCCTGTTACAGTGGTATCTGTCCTGGTTAGTACCTATATCTATATGCCTAGAAATACCTCCAAAGTATCCATCTCTTAAAGTTTCCGCAATTTAGTCTTCTGACAACCAAAATGACCATAAGGGCTACTTTGTTTATCTAACAACAAAAATTATGCTCATTCACTTAAACATTACTCGTAATAAATTCGAGAATTGACATTATAGTTGATGGCAAATGGACAAGATGGGGATCATGGAGTGAATGTAGTAAAGCTTGTGGTGGAGGAGAAAGGAAGAGATTTAGATCTTGTAACAATCCTAAACCAACAGCATCTGGAGAAAAATGTAAAGGTCTCAACTGGGAGAAAGAAGATTGTAACAAAGTGGATTGTCCACGTAATTACATTTTTAGATCAACTAGATAAGATAACTAAACTTTCCTATGGATAGACGACCGGACTAATACACTTTCTATAATCTAAACAGGCCAGAAACTGACCCACTTCTTAGAACGTTATGCCAAATATTTTATACAGACAGGATGCATGTTACTTGCGCTGACAAGGAATTTTCAAGATTTACTGGAAGGTACGAGGGGTGCGTGTTATACGTACTTGCGCATTATATTCGCAATTATACAGTAGTTACCAAAACGGTTTTCAGAGACCACTGTTTGCTTTTTCAATCCAGGTAAAAGGTAACGGAAAATCACTTTTTTTGATATACCGGTATGTTTATTTTCAGCGACACCAACTAATTTTGATATGAGTATATGTAATGAATCGTATTTTGAATGTGATAGTGCTACCATGTGTATACCTATAGATGAGCAATGTAATGAATTAGTACAGTGTGATGATGGTAGTGATGAAGTCAAATGTGATGAAGTACTTAGAGTACGAGAAGGGGGTGTCAGATATTCTACAGCTGATGGTAACGGTAAGACAGTTTATGTGTTTAAGAAGGCATTGATTTATATAGATTTATGACTTTAGTTTTGATATCTTTAAGATCGACAAGGAATAGGCATATAAATGGCAAAGCTTACCTGTTCAGCTATTACAATGTGCACCTATGAGTCCCACGTTGTAGACATTTTATTTTTGTGACTTCAAACCTGTACACACGGAGTATAAGTATTGCTCCTGTGTTTTTCACTCCAGCTTTTATCAGTTTATTTCTGATTTCAGGTTCTGGAAAAACAGAAATTTTGTCAGTGGTTCTTGGATTTGTGTTTTTACTGACATTAATGTTAATATTACATTAGACAAACATAATAGACTGTGTGCATTGCGTTCTGTGCTTTATGTAAACTTTACGAACAAATACTATTTATATTTGTGCTTGGTTGTTTTATGTGTATGTATATTTGGAATGCACAGATTTCTTAAGATGTGTATATAAACCTGTTACTTTCTTGGATTTAAAACTATACATGTCCATAACAAAATCTGTGAAAAGTGCCAATACCCATAGCATTATGAATGTTGAAGTTCTATAACATTAAAAGGATTTATTTTAAAGTTTGTATAAATGCATGGCTTATAATTATATTGTTGGAAATATCAGTGTGACTTGTTGTGAAGAATTGTGCCTTCTCTGACTTATTCTGAACCAATTTTATTATCTAATTTAGTTTATTTTGCACACTAGTATTTCAGTGGAATATAGAATATTATGTAGTACCTTCCATTTGGAAATGGCTAATATGTTGAGCTATTTATCAAAGATGGGAAAAATGTTTGAGCAGTTTATCAGAGATTGGATATAATTTGGAGCAGTTACAGAGATGGGAAATAATTTTAAGCAGTTTATCCGAGTTTGAAAAGAAATGAAATGACTCAGTCCTGTTTAAAAGGAAACACATGACTCATGACTACTTTGTTATTAAACGGGTTTTAGATGTAAAAAGATATTAAGTTATATGAGACTTGCTGCCAGAAACCGACATCTGAGGCCTTAGTTTCAATCTTTATAGTTATACATACCAAAAATGAAGTGAAAGGAGTTAATTTTCGTAAAGGTCATATGATAAAGCTATCTGAATCAACACTAGATATTACAGGTCACTATTCTTTGGTTTTCTGGCAGTTTTTCAGGTATCCACTGAAATGTTATAATTGTGAAAAATTAAGAGACAAGATGTTTCTGACAACAAGTCCTTCTATATTGTCTTTTAATGTAAATAACTCTTGTTCATTCCTTTGTATGTAAACTCTCTTGCTTATAGTATAAGAGATTAAAAAACTTACAATACAACCCTGTTTTCACTGGTTTATTTTCAGGAGATATTTATTGGCCAATATTTCATACAAAGCAACAATAAATCTGTATATGACCTACCTAGTTCCAGAAAGTGAATCTCATTTTCCTTTGAAGGAATATGTTACAACAGAATTTACACAAATGATTTTATTTTTTTGTAAACACAACATCATACGATATAAATGAGGCAGTGCTAAACATAATAACATACAGAAAATAAAATTGATCTCTCCATGATCATGTTAGCAATAATATAGAGTAAAATGTTCGAAATATTTTATAAAAATTTGGATTTGAATGGGAAGCAGAAGGGAAATAACTCTAAATAGGCAAGAAAACAAAATATTTATAGATATCATGTCTTAATTGGATACCTAACCTAACTATGCTTGTGGAGTTTAAACAGAAAATACATGAAAATATTAAACATAATATAAATGATTTACCCTGCATTACTACAGGTTTGCTAGCTATGGATGAGAAAAGGTTTCAAAAGACTTAAAACAATCTATTATACTTTTTGCTCTGAAACTGAAAATATGTAAACATGACTTGCTTACATAACACAATGTGTCTTTGATACCAAGTTTATGACACTGACAGGTCATTCGAAAAATTAAAGTCCACCATTTTTCCACAACACCTATTGACCAAAATCCATACCAGCACCTTGTTTACCACGAGAATCGGACATTGATTTAGCTATAGTACGTTTCATCTCATCATCACCTTCCTCATACATCTTCTGTAATAATTTCATCATACTAGCATTGGGATCTTCTTTATCTAGATCTGGTGTTTCTCTGAAATGATAATAAAATTTTTAGAAGGCCTTCAATTGTTACCAAAATTGTACCAAATAACATAACTTTGATTAATGTGTTTAAGTAGATAGTTTAAAATTCTTTTTTTATTGCCAGTGTGAAACATTAATTGTGCCATCATACTTTTATGCTGGACATGGAGGCCATTTGGCTGTGCTTCACTGTTTTGATATCAAGAAATTAATAGAATTAACATACTTTGATTTTTCTACTTTTTTCTTTTCCACCGCAGTTACATGTGACCAGATTTTGCCAACTTCTTTCTTTTTTAACATCAATAAAACCATATCAGTTTTTACCTTAAAAAAATCAAAGATGAAAAAACAACATATTATTAATTATGTTCCTCAGTCGACTAAAAACTAGATAACATAACTTATAAAAGAGCAATTAATCAGAAAGAAATAAAGATTTGTAATATTCACATGACGTCAAATTAATATCAATGTCCTTATCTTACGATTGTTTTTAAGCATCATAGGCAATACCATGAAGTATGCCATCAGTGAAATATTACAATAGCACACAAGATTTTGTTTATTGTATCATTCAAATGACTATAGACTTTATAACCTGTCACTTTGAGACAGGGCAAACTTCTCCAACCGCAGGAAAACAAGTCGAAATATTTTAAGGTCCATCTTGTCCTCAGGTAAAATCAAACCCAGAACCCTCAGGTAAGCAGAAAATCATTTTAATTGCTCAAAACAAAGATAAACCGGAAGAATCAATAAATTATTTGCTCACGTTAGTAATTTCTTACCTTATGATAGCTTGCTGAAGGATCAATTTCTTCACATAAATGACTGTGATATAATTCATAATTTTTATTATTTAAACCGTCAATATTCAGTTGTACTGAGCTAAAATAAAAATAGTGTCAAATAAGCATTTAAAAATCTGATTATTCAAATTTTATATTACTTTACTATGAAACAATAAAGGCTTGTGTTCAGTACTGACTCTGATCAAAATGACTAGTTCATGTGTATAAGTTATAATGAAAACATGCTTGAACTCTGGTCTCAATATTTGGAGTACCGTACAAGAATGTGTCAAGGTGGAATATATAGAATTTTTTTTTAGAAAACTTACCAGTTAGTGAATTCTGATCTTATTTTCTCCTTATCTAAATTATGAACATTATTCGAGGTTACGTAAAGTTTCATAAATTTGTCGGATTCGTCCCAACCTGTAATACAAAATGCAAAAAGTAGAATACAGAAATTATTTGTAATCCTAATTTCTATATTTTCATAGTGTATAATGTCAACCAAATTATAAATACATTGCAAGTTGACTTCAATCACTATGCACAGTACAGTATTTGAATAAATAAAAAAAAATATGATCAATAGCATATTTGTATAGCCTACAAGAACTAACTCCATTATAAAAGAGTTGTGATTGAAAGGAGACAATTTACACCTCCCCTGTTTCCACATTAACTACATCAACAAAGACCAATGATACTTACCATATTTTGTAATTTTTTCTTTGATTACAACACCAGTGGATTTATTGTCACCACTAGCAGAGCTTGATGCAGGTTGAGGAGCTTTGTCAACCATTTCCTGTTGTTTACTTATCTCTGACTCTACTTTTCGAATTTCTACAGTTAAAAGGTTTTTAACTCTTTGACGCGTAGCTTGACTGTTAAATTGTTCAAGTTCTGTTAAATCTTTCTTCAACTGCAAATAAAATCATAGTCGAAATTTTCTAAAGAAGAAAAGCGCTTGAGTAATGTAATAGTATAAACATAGAAGGTTTGAGTATTTATGAGGCAATGATGACCATGTTCACATTCACTGAATACATCTACTGTCAAGAATACTAGTCAACTCGTCTCCATGTCAACTTGTCAACAAAATTTGGTTGGAGAACTCGTCTACAAAAGTTTACTTGTCTATAATATTTGCCGTGTCAACTCAACAACAAAACTAAAATGATGGGGAAAGTGTTTTCATACACAAGAACTGCCTTCATTATAAAAGGGTTCCTATTAAGAGACAAAAATTGATTAACAATTGATTTTATTTTTCATACTGTAAATACACTCTTACAGAATATCCGGGAACTGCTGACGATATTTTGATAACATTTTTTCGGTGTTAATGTAAATTAAATATGTATATAGTAATGTCATGTGTTGTTTAGTCTAAAACTTTGCAGTTGTCCTAAAATCTATTATACAAACTTGCGAAATTAATGTGATAGGCTTAATTAGCCAGTGTCTTCCAGTTTCGCTTTCGCATAAGGCGATGATATTATTCAGGATAACATTAAATTAAAAAGAGCTAACCTCATCAACTACAAGGGAAGCCATTGTTAATTCTCCAACAATCTAATGTATAAATTTAAAATTCAACAATGAATGTTTGAAGGCAAATAAATATCTATTTTATCTCTCGAATATTCTAAGAATAACAAGCCCACATAGAATATTCACATGGGGGTTTTTTCCAGTGGATTTCCGCGCTTCCGGTTGTGCGCCTTAAATTAGAGTTTGGATCTTTAAGTTTTTTAAAATGGAACTATGACCGTAAAGACATACATTTTGTTTCATAATTTTTTGTTTATTCTAAATGACTTGCATATCATGTTTAATGAGTAAACAGACAGAATAGCCTAGAATGCGAAGCGTTAAGCCTAGAATGCGAAGCGTTCTTTAAAATGAAAGTGTTGATCTTCAGACTAAAGGGTCATAACAGTAATAGTGTTCTCTATTTTTAATTTGCAAAATTGTGTTGTAGAGGTGACGGTTAAAAAACAAAACAATTTTCTTTCAATCAGCTCTGCTCTTTGGCTGCCAAAAAATAAATAAATTTCTAAATCCAAAATTAAGACGACCCCCTTTCTATGACAGGTCACGTGATATTGATTTCCTTCCTGAAGTAAGGGCAGGGTTCAGCTTCTAATTTCAATAATTAGTCAGAGATTAATGTTATAATTGTGATGTAAACAAGTCAAGATGACGGTCTGGCGAAAAACAGACGCAAAGACCAAACTCTGTGTGGCTATATATAACTTTGATGGTCAAGGACGTTGTAAATTACCTTTGGAAGTTGGTGATACACTGCAAATTGATGAAGAATGTGATGGGTGGTACAAGGGTTTTGCCCTTAAAAACAAAAAACTCCATGGAATATTTCCTAAATCCTATGTCAGTATTAAGGAATCAATCACTGAAATACATGGTGGAATGGAAATCGTCACTCCCAGAGAACCAGCAGTGGCCCAAGAAATATCAGCAGTATTGAAGGAATGGAACCAGATTTGGAAAATGTTATATGTCCTTCGTGGTAAGGACTTTGATCGGGTGAAAGAAATGCTAAATGAACTTTTAATATGGAGACAGAAAGCCTTGTCTAGTAAATTAACAATTGAAGAATTGGGTGCCTTACAACAAAAGGTCACAAAAAAGATTGACTTTGGAAATGCTCTATTAAATCAGGATCTTGTGGTTCGTGATAAAATGGGAAATGTCTTAAACCATGATAAAAATAGTATTATTGAAGTGTTTAGACGTCATGTTTTAGCGGCAGAAAATATCAAAAACATTAAATTAGAAGATGCTGGAATCGAAAATGAAAATGAATCAAAATTTTCGTGGCCAAGTACATTTAATTTATTTGTCATGTTGAGAAACTTTGTTGTTAAAATTGGAGAAGATGCAGAAATAATCATGAACTTGTATGACGCCAAAGAGGCAGAGTTTATAAGTGAAAACTATGTTGTTAAGTGGACTAAGGAGGGTGTGCCAAAAGATATTGATATGTTGAATAATTTTAAAGTTGTTTTTACTGATCTGGGTACTAAGGACAGATATCGTGAGAGAGTGTTTCTCATTTTTCAAATTGTACGTATTGGTGTAATGGACCCAAAATCTCTGAGTCCTAAAAATACTCAGAGAGTTCGCAGACCTTTTGGTGTGGCAGCTATGGATATTTCAGAAATTATTGCTGGAACTAAAGAATTCAACGAGGACCAACAACATTTCATTCCTTTTCAACAATGTGGTGAAGAATATATGGACTCAGTTGTCAAGAAAGTAATAGTAGCTAAGGATATTAACCATAAAGGACAAGGGTTATGGGTGTCTATGAAGTTATTACCTGGTGATATTAAACATGTACAAGAAGAATTCCCTCATGTTATTACACAGGGATGTTCTTTTGCCAGAAAAATTGGTTTCCCTGAAGTTATAATGCCAGGTGATGTGAGGAATGATATATTTGTAACTGTTATGAGTGGAGAATTCTATAAAAGTGCTACTAAAACAACTGACCGTAATGTTGAAGTGACAGTGTTGGTGTGTAACAGTCGAGGTGATGCCTTACAAGAAGTGATTAGTTATGGTTCAGGAGATTCTATGAGTGGAGAATACAAATCAGTGGTTTATTATCATGAAGACAAACCCAAATGGTTTGAAACTCTAAAAGTCACCATTAGTTCAACTGAAGAAGAATTTCGAGGTCTTCATTTGAAATTTTTATTCAAACATCGATCATCAGCTGAAGCCAAGGACAAATCAGAGAAACCATTTGCTATGTCTTATATTAGACTCATGAATGAAAATGGTACAACTATGGAAGATTGTGTTCATGATTTGTTAGTGTATAAACTAGAATGTAAGAAACATGAAGATCGTGGCTACTTAAACTTGCCAACAACCAAACGTGAATTAGAGCATCGCTTTGCCAATCATCCAACAACTGGTAAAGTTCATCTACAGTCCAAGTCAGGAAGTATAGTCTATAGTAATAAAGATTCATTTACTATTCAAACTTTTGTATGTTCTACTAAACTAACCAATAATTTAGATCTGTTAGGTTTATTGAAATGGCAGGAGGTTCTTCACGATACCAAAAATCTCCAGAAACATCTTGAACATCTGATGAAAGAAGGAGGTGAAGAAATTGTCAAATTTTTACAAGATTTACTTGATTCCTTGTTTAATATTTTAATGCAGAACACAAATTCTGAATTGTGTGATAACCTTGTATTTGATGCTCTTGTTTATATTATTGCTTTGATATCTGATAGAAAATATCACCAATTTCGACCAGTGCTTGATGCTTATATTGATTCTAATTTCAGTTTTGCCATGGCATATAATAAACTTATGGCAATATTGAAATATTATGTTGACAATGCTAATGAAAAGTCAGTACATGAACAATCATTATTATGTGCTATGAAATCATTAGAGTATATATTTAAGTTTATTATTAAGTCACGTCAATTATTTGCCTTGATTAATGAAGGGAGGGGTAAACAGCAATTTGAAATGACCTTAAAACAATTATTATTGTCTATTAATGGTATGATGATGTATACCAGTGATCAGACTCTCCTAATTCAAGGAGCAGCATTAAAATATATCAGCTCTATTGTAGCTGATGTGATCACTGTATTTGATCCTATAGAATTGAGTACTCTGATGGTACAGTTTATTGCTAATGTGCCTCGTGATAGACTGTCCCGTCAGAAAATGAAATGTATTAATGATCTTGTGCATACTGATTTATTTAAGAGATCTGATTGTAGGCCTGTTTTAATTACTGCCATATTTCAGCATACTAAAACAATGATGGATAGAGGTGTAGAGGTGGAGGAATGCATTGATGTCCTGAGTGATATAATGCATTGTCTGTATCAGCCACAAACTGGACTTCATGAAAGTGATATTAGTATAGTTACACGTGAAATACTCAGAACTGTCATCCAGACTGCTATTGGAATGGATAGAAAATCTAAAGCAGTTGGCAAATGTGTAGCAGTGATGTTAAGTATTTTACGTCAAATGAGTGAAAATCATTATTTTAACTACATTGAAAGTTTTCCTACAAATTTTGATCTACTGGACTTTCTAATGGAAATTTTGATGGTTTTTCAAGATTTAGTTGGTAACAGTGTATTTCCTAAAGACTGGGTTGAAATGATGTTGATACAAAATAGCATAATATTACGAGCATTGCGTTTTTTTGCCAATACTATCCATGACAAATTTTCTAATCCCTTTGAGCAGCAATTGTGGAGCAATTTCTTTCACTGTGCGAAAGATTTCCTGACACAAGATGCTTTACAACTTGAGCGGTTTTCAATAAACAAGAGAAACAAAATAGTAACCAAATATAAGGACATGAGAAGGGAAGCTGGTTTCGAGATCAGGTCTATGTGGTTTAATCTAGGTCACAACAAAATAAACTTCATTCCTGATCTGGTCGGACCAATTCTAGAAGTCACATTGATTCCAGAAACAGAACTGAGAAAAGCCACCATTCCAATCTTTTTTGATATGATGCTGTGTGAATATACCCAACCCATACCCAAGTCTAACAACAGGATTCAGGGTAACTTTAATTTGGTTGAAAATGAAATGATTACCCAACTGGATATCTTGGTAGAAGGTGGACGAGGTGATGAGGAGTACCAAGAACTGATGTATGACATTCTGTACAGCATGTGTCTTGGTCACTCTACTGTAAGAGAACAAGGGCTTGCCTTCGTGGAGATGGTTAGAAAGTTATTGCAAAGATTACTAGAGTATCGATTGATCATTAAAGATGAAGTAAAAGAACACAGAATGAGTTGTATTGTAAACCTGTTGGATTTTTACCACGCCATCAACCGACAAGAGATGTACATTAGATATCTGCATAAGCTCTATCATCTCCATCTGGAGTGTGATAATTTTACTGAGGCTGGTTACACGTTAATGTTGTATGCTAAACTATTGAACTGGTCAGAAGATAACCTTCCACCAATGCTGCACAATAATAAGTATCCAGATGCTATAACACACAGAGAACTCAAAGAGAAGCTGTACTATGATATTATTTCCTGCTTTGACAAGGGTAAAATGTGGGAGAAGGGTATAGAACTCTGTCGAGAACTAACGTTACTCTATGAACAAGAACTCTTTGATTATGTCAGCTTGAGCAAAACCCATAAAAGACTGGCAGAATTGTATGATAACATCATGAAACAGATGCGTCCAGAACCTGAATATTTTCGAGTTGGTTATTATGGTCGTGGATTCCCATCCTTTCTACAAAATAAGGTATTTATTTATAGAGGCAAAGAATATGAGAGATTGGTGGATTTCAGTTCCAGAATGCAGATTTTATTTCCAAATGCTGAATTGATGCGAACACTTGACCCCCCTGGTGACGATATAAAAGATTCTCCCAAGAGACATCTACAGATCAATGCTGTGACTCCCATCATGGAACTAAAACACCAGTTCCAAGGAAGAGATGTTGGTGAACAGATACTCAAATATTACCGAGTCAATGAAGTGCAGAAGTTTACTTTCTCAAGAAAATCGGATGAAAGTCCAAATGATATTGCTAAAATGTGGCTAGAAAGGACAAATTTGGTAACTTCGTATCCCTTACCAGGCATTGTTGGTTGGTATCCCGTTGTTTCAACATGTACTTTCGCTGTTAGTCCGCTAGAAACTGCCATTGAAACACTAGAAAATAAGAACAAGAAAATCCACTCCGCTATTGAACAACATCGAATTGATCCAGCTATTCGTGTTGATAATTTAAGTATGTTATTAAAGGGTGTTGTAGACCCAGCTGTTAATGGTGGAATCTCTATGTACAAAGTCTTCTATAATGGTGAATATATACTACAGAGTGATAGCATGGAGAAAGATTCCGAACTGGTGGAGAAACTAAAACAATTAACATTTTATCAAGTTACCCTGATTAGAGAAGCCTTGATGATTCACCGCAGGAAGGTTCCTGAAGATCTGAAACCATTGCATAGCAACATGGAACAACGGTTTGCGGAAATGTGCAATATAATTGAAAGAGAGTATGGCATTAGAGTTGCAGACAAAGGATTTGCCAGCGCATCTCTAAGAAGAAATCAGTCAATAGCGAGTACAACAAGCATTAGATCCAGTGAATTTGCCCAAAGTCCACCGGCTGTTGACACAAATCTTCTGACACCAAACAAGAATTCTCCAGGTCATAGAGCACAATCTGTCTGGGTTCGCCCTGACAAGACTAATTCACCATCTCCAGGAAAGAGTCTTCAGTCAAAGGTTGGAAACATGATTAAACGAGCATCCGCTGTCGCCGATTCTATAACTGATAATCGTAGTATATCAGAACAACCTATTGAGCTTAACGAACAACTTGTAGCCAGAAGACCACCTCGACCAGAATCTGACAAAAGTCCACGTCCTCCAAGTAACCAGTTTAGACCAGATCAGTTCTTAAGTACAAGTTCTTTAAGTTTGGCTTCCAATACAACTGTAACCTCTGACACCAGTGATGCGTTTTCCTCAGATGAACCCCCACCCCTCCCTGAAAAGACAGCTTATGCTGATTATACCAATACTGTGGGTATGGAAGGACCAGCATTACCAAGACGAGGTTCCAGTACCCCATCTATTAAGAATAAACCGCAACCACCCCTTCCAGTTGAGGCTGAACGAGACAAACCTCCACCTGTACCTAAAAAACCTCACTAAATTTGAAAAATGCTATCATTATCTTCTGCTGTCATGACATGTTGATATTTTACTAGTATTAATTTAGTTTTTATACATATTTTAAAGATCTGTGTAGTTATTTTATATTTAGATATCCGCTAGATTTTAGATATGATTGTAGTAAATTATGACACATTCATTAAGATCGATCAAACGCTTCTGTATTTCAATTTGTTATTGTTAATAGTTCATTGTCATCGTAGAAATTCTAGTCCCAAGATTTAGGCCGGAATCTAAATGATACTTGATCTAATTCATTTAAGATGCATCATTCGAATTAAAGGTATACTACTTCTTTATATGACTAAAAAATTGATGTTAAAATGTTAAAACTTGGTAAAAATGAGTCTTTGTTCATCTGGCGTCAAAACTACACGACAGAATCTCTCTTTAATCCAATATATCCATACAACTAACAAGTAATATTTCATTTAACTAAATAATCCTGACATGCTTAGATGCGTGTTTTAATAATTAATTAGTTTATTGGACATATCGTCTTATATCGGGATTCAATTTTTTAGTCATTTTGGCACCTTGCCCAACAAGCCAACTGATGAATATAATATCAACTTGCTGACCAAGTTTGAGACTTAAAATTTTATGTCCAGTCTAAGAGGTAGTATTAGTTCAAGTGGATAATTAAGTACTCAAGCGTTTTCTCCAGAAAAAAAGCTGTAAGCGGACGTAATTTAATTGCGCATCGCTTCAGATGAGTAATCTATATATACACATGTGTAACAATTACTTGTAAATTCGAAAATAGACAATTAATGTCCGGTTATGTGAACTTTGTGTCCAGTGTTAAAATCTGAGCCTATTTTTAACGCTGATAAATAGCTGTTGTGCATAATGTATAGTATTTGTGATTTGTATTAGGAAGTACTGTAGTTTATTTAAACTTTTTGTTCATATTTCTTTTTAATCCTATTAATATAATATTTTGATTATATTTTATCATTATTTAACTTCCTGATATTGCATCATGTTATTTTCTTTTATATAATGGTTATTTTTGTCATTAAGATTTATTTTGGCTTGAAGCAAGGATTAGGACGAAAATGCCCACACTTTCTCACGCCTATACCTCTACATCAGTAACTTAAATTGTCAACTAATATAAGTAGCATGTTTATAGTAACTTCTTTTATCATTGTAAGATGAAACTCCTTCCCAAATTATTATTCATAGAAATGTTTTAAATGGTAACGAGTACCTGTCTGGTCCATCGAAAATCAAAAATACTGTTTAGAAATCTGATTCAATACTTTTCACCAAGTTTCCTTCTTTTTCCTATTCTTTACAGTTCTGTAACATTGAACGAGTTAAAATCTGAAACGTTATTTTGAATCTGTAATGTAATCAGAATGTTGTTTTTGTCTGAGTAGGGAGGTTTTGTACTTTTTTCTTCAAGAAATTGCATAGCCTTCTCTTTATTTCAAAGGTGATGCATCGTAAATTCTCTTTTTAGATACTGGGAGTGAATATGAGGATAATGTGTTTCCTGGTCGAGAAATTTACATTTGACAAAAAGAGTATTGACTATGTATATCATTTAAATCGACCTTACTTTCAGTCAATTTATATTGTTTTCCTTGGCTATAATATTATGGTGCTAATTTTTTCATATTTTTTATATAAGATCCGAAATCTCCAGCAAGATTTTTTCCTTCGTCATTGTGTTCGTAGAATCTGGTAGAATTTTAGATGCTTTATAGTCTTTATACTTAATCGTTGCCTTCCATGCTGAGAGTTGTGTTTGTCCAATATTGTCCATAGGATCTTAGAAACCTCAAAGTATTAGGACACTCTTAATCATTCCAAGCAAAATCAATTCTTAGGAGGTAGGGCCAATGGACGACACTTTACTGATTGATGCTCCTGACGATGGAACACACATACCGTTAGTAATGATACGTATATGTATTTTTGATACACATTTTATAACAAGTTTAACATCAAAGAACAAAATCAAAGAGTTTTATATAGTTAAACAATCATAGTGGTTGTGTACAGATTTCAGTTAATGTGGTGTTCGACTTGAATACTTAAAATCAAAAAGAAGTTCCATCATGATCCATCATGCTAATAATAATGGCATAACTCTCAAATTTCCCTAATTGAAAGTAGAGGTTGTACATTGCCAGAGTTGAAACGCCAGGCACCACATTACTGGGTCTTATATCAAGTGTCTTAATGCTTTTTAATAGAAATAGAAATATCTACAAGCTATTTTACCATAAGAAACTTATGAAACTAATATGGATATACAATATCAATTTGTTACTATAATAAATTTGCTAATACAATACAGATTTTGACTTTTTTTTTATTTATTGAAGATCTTTTGAGGAGATGCCAAGACTAATTCTTTGGTGTTCAGAGAAACAAACTGAAAACCTGATTTAGATTGAAACTACTATTGTACGCCCAATCAAAACAGAATTAGCCTCTAAAATCCCTAAAAGGGGTTAAACTGTTCATGTCTTCAGTGACGATGCAAGAAGTGCTTCTTCAGTGTATGACTCTTTGGATGACAATGATACGCCTTGTACTATGTAAGATGAAACTATCCAATTTAATTCCTATTTAAAAACACTGCTCATTGGTATATCCCTATTCGTGACTTATTTGATCCTATATTACTCGATCAACCCAGCTATCAGAAGACAAACGATACGTTAAGACAGTATAGATCTGATAACGGAATACCAGTATTAATTTTCACAATTCTTATGGAAAGAGGTTGATGGGTTGCTATCACCGACAATATTCAGCTCTATCAGATGTGTCGTGTTTTCAAAGTAAGACTAAAGTTCTGAGAGGTTATGTTTACAACAAGTCTTTGATATATATGTTTCCGTATATTATCAAATTATTAATGACGTTTTTCCTGTTAAAATTGAAACGAAGCCTGCATCCTATTGATATACTATAAACTTCCCATTCAAAATATCTCTAAATATCAAGCATTAGAGTTAATGTTTTAAGATTCTAGCTTTGACCCGGTATACAGCCTCAGTCGTTCATGTCTAGTGGTTCGAAATGGAGTCATCATATGTACTTTGAAGATAATCAAAGGCTGCCAAAAATTCCCGTCTTTATTACCGCTAAAATGGAACATAAACTCGGGACGCAAAACTCCATACCATTTTATTCAGTTTTATAGTCACCGATATATTAGTAGTTATTCCCCATTTCATTGACATTGATTCAAATAGAACATTAAATACCAACACTTTTGATCAGATGTGATGCATGGTCAAAGTCTGTTTGCTTTTATATCCTTATCAGATTAGTAGGTGTTTATAGTAACAACAAACACCGGAAAGCAGGAGCCGATTACTTTATTTAATAATATATAAGAGCTATTACACAATTAATGATAAATAATAATTTCACAATATCCCACTAAACGTTCAATATGGATTGAGAATTTACTAACAGCCACCCCCACCCACCGCTCCCCAAAACAAAAAAATTCTTTCGATATGAAATAAGATTTTAAGTACCTCTTCTGTCGAAGTCGACGTGAGCGCAGTGTTCGAATTTGGAAATCGATCCACAACAACTGACAACTGGATCGAGTAGGACGCAGATTCAATAGAGCTTGAGCAACTGACAGTAGCTGAGATGTTTTGTACCATCTGGTCCGGCGATAATTGGGAAAAAAACAAAATCTATATCTGATATATTGTACTTTTTGTATCCAAATTGAAACGTATCTGATATGCAACACGAGCCTATATTTTTCGACCCAGAGCTTAATACAGGAGTTATATTTGGGGCAGATACTTTTAGTCAACAGCTTGGTCTGCTACGCCTGATTGCCTGATCGAGGAGATTATGGTTAGCACTTTTCAGGTGAATTGAAAATAGCTCACACGAAGATCAAAGCACACCTTCGGTATTCTAGCACACAGTAAGTTAAGTTTGGCATCTCATTAACATTTTACTCTCCGTCCAAGTGGTTGGCGAAATATATTTTGTTTCTTTGTCTTTGAAAAGGGAACGACGTCTGGTGACCTTGAAAAAGTATATAATATTTGAATTGTACTATTTCCTTTTTAATGCATTAAATAAATGATTCGTTTCGATGTTTTGGAATTTGGATGCGCGCAATCTGTCACTTAATACCCTTGAGCATTTACTATAGAACTTATTTTACACAGAACGTTATTGGATTTGTCTTGATCGTTTAGAAAATCTACCAATCCACATCTCTTTTAACAGTCATACAACAAATATACCACTAAACATAATCCATATAAACACAACAATATTACATTGGATAACTTGGATGGAGTTTTCACCATTATTAAAATCGTCAACAATTACTTGAGCCGTGTTTCCGGGGAGATATTTTTTATAAGATATTGCCTTGCCTTCTGGTGTACAATATTTTTTACGCTGATCTCCTATTAATGCCCGTTCTATCAGCCTATCGCAATATCCCAATCCCAAGTCTTTTGAGCAATCACAGATGTCCATTGCATTTAAAAACTGTTGACCAAGTTCATCTCTTCGCAATTTGGATATGACGTAACTACCGATATCACCATTAAGACATGCGTGGTTTCGATATTTTTCAAGAGCGGACAGACACTGGCCACTACAGTCAATTAAAACGTCGTCATGGTAACATGTAACGACCACATGTAAAACTGCTGAATTAATCTCTTTGCTTAAAAACTCTTTCCAACGACAACCGTCAATAGCTTCATTCTGATATCGAGGTAGATGTCTTTGGCATGACTGGATTGACTTGCGAGTCGTACACCATGGTCTGATTAATCTATGAGCGGGATAATAGGTAATAAAACCGTAACACATTTCATCTTGTGTTCCATCACCTTGACAAATAGGTGGATTAGTAACAGGTAATTTATAAACACATTCTGTATGGAGCTCATCTCCAGGTAGAATTTCAATAGGCGAGTTGAAACTGAAATTTTAAAAAGAAATGCATAGAACCAAACATTTTACTGACAAGTTAATTATGACCAAAGTGCTGGAATAATTATTATTTAAGTCAATAAGACATATTACATAATTATTTATCATTACCATAAAGCTCTATGCTAAATAATCAAACAATGTGCTTGATTAATTTTAAAGCCATGTAGTAATTGTTTTGCCATTCATTTAGGGCACGTTAACGTTCATTGTGCTTGTAGCATACGGGGCCTCTCAATTCTGCCATTCGACGCCTTTTCCCATCCAACCTGCATCACTGACGGGGGATAACCTGGATAGAAACTCTGTACGTTCTATTTGATCCGGGACCAATCTTCTATACTTACGTATTGATAATAGGACTATCATAACTATAAATTAAATCATTAGTAATATCTCGAACTTTACTACCATTTCTATATTGAGATATTATTTGAGATAAACCTGAAACAGATAAAAACAGCATGAAAAAATATGAATTTAAATCAAAGTAATCTCTTACCAAGTTTAAGTTATTTTGTCATGCCGCTGTGGTGTAGCATTCATGCTTTGTAAGTAACTTTAGTATGGAATGTGCATATATGGGCATTCGTTGAACAGATAACGTTTCGAAAGAAATCGAGCAGTTACCAGAAGACTCAATTTTGCGGCTGTTCCGGGTGAGTAAAGGGGAGTGACAGATTGGAGTAATTGGATCCTAAACGATTGCTTGCAACTGATGGCATCTTTGTTAATCTAATTGACTGCTAGATCGCGCATCAACAAATGAAACATCCCAGTTGCCACAATGTGCAATAAATTGCAGCACATATATTTGTAGTAGAATTTGTGGGAATCTGTTAGCATCTATAGTTCATCGCAAATGCTATTATACATCGACATCCTCAATGAAATAAATAATGCATAATGAGATGAATCACTTACCGAAATAATGCATATGATTGATTGCTGACGTAATATAAATGGGAGTGTCAAACATTTCTCTGGTACATTTAGAAGCACAAACAGAGTCAACGGTTACTGTGGTTTCTGGGAGTGAAGGATTTAGCTGAATGAAATCTTGACCTACTACTAACATTCCTGCGTCGTTTTTTCTTACATTTGGTGTATAATACAGACGTAGGCCTGATGCGTCTTCTAAATTCGAAAGCTTCTCGGGATTGTTCCAATGTACCTGAAAATAAAAAGGTAAATAATCTATCAAAAATAACCTCAACACTTGCCCGGCCTAATATTGGCCATAACAAAACATAGAAAGGCTCTTGTGAATAAGGAGTGATATCATCCTACTATTTGAACCATGGATTGACAGACAATGGCAATGAATGAATGGTTTTTTACTACCAACTCCGTAAGTAACTACATGTAGGCCTACTCTTTATTGCCGAATACGTCCTGATATACTCAATGTTAAAAATATGATATCACCTGTAACGCTGCTTTTCTGTAACCATTTTTTCCCAATCTGAAACCAGTATTATTATTTACACATTCTCCAGCACTACCTACTGTCCATGTACCTATTATATCTAAACATTGTGGATGAGCCAACATAGCACAGGGATAGGGGCCTGGTGGTACATCTATCTCTGCTGCAAAATACAAGGAAACAAATTCTATGAATTTAATTTGAAAACACAAAATCATAAAACTGGTAAATCGAGATTCAGGTTGTTTTTCGACATTTAAGAGGGAATAACAAAGCCATTATCATACCGAAACGGCTACATGGAACAAACCATAAAACTCTTGAAAATATCCTGTATTTTTGTTTCAATTGTTTAAAATGTATCTGCAGTATATCAAGCGTTGAACATGCAGACGGTTAAATAAATACGCTTCTGCACCAATATAACACAATATCATTTCTTAAAACATAACTTGATCGAAAGACAAACAAATTCCATCATCAGTAGAGATGATATCTCACTAGACAAAATAAAACTTGACAGTCTAGGCCATGAGATTATCTGAAAATATTTTATGTTAAAAAATGCATAACAGGGAAGTGTTTCTATAGCCGGCTTACAAATTCCAAACTGCAGAAGAAATAAATAACGGTTGGTGATACATAATAAGTGATAGAACTCTAAAACCTTTCGCCCCAATATTTAATACTCGACTCATTTAAAAGTAAAATATCTTTAGATAATAACGTAGACGTATTGAATCGATCAAAACAGCTTGGTCGTTCCAGATCGCCCCTTGATCAGTCACGAGTATGCCTAGTGTTTAATATTAAGTGAATTTCCCCTATAATCAGAAATTATATTAAAAAATAGTATCTCTTTAAAGACAAATTCTCATAAGACTCAAAAACATAATAAGATAAATATTAAATGATATCTAAAACCTTGATGTAAAGCGAAATTTTAGTCAATATTCTTATTATTTTAATGATAACATTAAGGTTTATAATCGTTTAGTGTTTCTGAAGAGACGATAAAATTTCATAGTAAAATTATATAAATAATGCTGTAGCGTTTTAATGATGTATGATTGATATATCAGAAGGCACGAGTAAAACAGCACACTCTAAATCAACATCTGAAGTTGTCACAACCTTTCTGGATTTAGCATGGAATCCCGACTGAAAACATTTTTTTTGAAAGGAATAGTAATATTATACATCAATATTTCACAAACGCAGAGTAATCCCAAAGTATAATTCATCATATTATAATGCTTTATGTATCATTTGACCTTAACTTTGAGTTATTAAGGAATCCTTGGCCCTTGATACTCTTATTAGTAGCAAGATTAACCATATCAACTCTTAAGCCAAACGCCAAAATAGACCTCAGTAAAAAGGTATCTTACCGGAAGTGTCGCAACCAAATGCTAGTATATGATGAGCCAGTTGTTTGTTATCTAAAACTGGTTGAGTAGCAACAAGATGATAGTCTCGATCAGTAGGGAAATCAAATATCATACAATAATAGTTGGTCTCTCTTGATGGAACTGGAACCCTCTCTTGGAATTTCAGCGTTATATTCCGGATATCTGAAAATACAAATTCTGTGGATGAGAGTTAAGTTGGTGAAATGGTAAACATGGTATCACAATCTGATTAACATTGCGAATGATAATGTAAAATACTCTAGCCCTACAAGGATGCTTTCTTTCTTTTACGGTTGTGTAGCTTTGTATTCATTTTACTATTCTACTATTAGTAGTTAGGAATTACCTGGATCTTTAAATACAGAACAGTTGAGATTTCTTTCATTACAATCTAACCATTTATTCATCTCTTTACACAGTGGACTGTCCATTGGTTCACAGACACCTAAATGAAAAAATATGTTACAAACCAGTGTTCTATACCTAAAACTGTTGATTGGCCATTGGGAGTGGTAAGACACTTACGCGTACATTAGAATCTGGCTCTTATTTGCCACTACAGGACCACTACAGGACCTGGTGTGCTTCATCGTTTGTGACACTTTTATTTTATGTTTGAATTTTACAAACCTGGATGGGATATTGCTCTCTTTAACTTCGGTGGAACACTTCCCGGTGACCATACACATCTCGGATCACCAAGTTCCTCACCATTACTTTTACCATCACCGTCACTATCCAGTCGACATAATCTAGTCCATAACTACAATTTTACAAGGATATCATATTAAGTATATGGCTTATGTCCGAAAGAAATCTGAGCACAAGATATCAGGTTCTGTGGCAAAGGACGTTAGGGTTTTACCAGGAAGTGAAATTCTACATACTTAGTAAACTAAAAGAGCAGGACGTGTGGATTATCCTCAGGCACGGGTTTTCTTCCCCTATAAATTCTTGATTTTCTCTTTGGTTTAGCACCCCCCTCACCCCTCCTCCCCCCCCCCCCCCC